ATGTTTAAATAAAGTGATATCAAGTTTACTATTTCATATCAGTGAAAGAAATTAGCTCATGACAATTAAAGACTTGGCTTAGGTTTCACCTTCAGGTTAGCTCAAGGGTGGGCAATTATTTTGGGCGGAGGGCTGCTTACTGAGTTTTGCCAAGCCATCGAGGGCTGCATGACAGGCAGCTAGGGGCAGATAAATATTAAATTTTCTAAATTTGAGGGGCCCTGTCGGTTGGATAGAATGGCCTGGTGGGCTGCATCCAGCCTTTGGGCCACATTTTGCCCACCCCTGGGTTAGCTCCTAAATGCCAATGATTCATTCATATTCTATATTCTGCTCATTATGGCTAGGGACAGACATTAAAAAAGCCTGAGTCTGAATTGATTCCATCTTTGCAAGTTAATCTAACCTGGCTAAGCTGAATCAGTTTGTAACTGAACAGACATCCTAGAAATGCAGGCACTTGCCTACAGTGGCTCAGGCTAGAAGCCAGGGGTTGCTAGAGCAGCCTTCTCTTTGCTTCTGCAATGTTAAGATGAGGAGGTGTGGCCACACCCTGGCAGGACACTCTGATTAGGGAGGGGTACTCCCCGCTTGGCTTGGTAACAGAGCATTCATCATCCCATCAGAAAACAAAGCCTTTCCCATTAGTTCAAGCTCTTCTTAAGCAACTTGTTCCAAAGAAGAAAAGGAGGGTTGTTAGCAGCTAACCTGTTGATTAGTTCCAAAATGCTGTAAGTGGACACAGTCCTGTCTCCCACAGCACTGACCGTAGCCAGCATGTAGTCTGCTAGCTAATGCTGAGAGGTGTCTGTGCAAGGCAGACGGAAGGGAAAATCCCTGCTTAACAGGGAATTATGAGGGGTGGGGGGAGCCAGGCAGACACCTACAGGCTCTGGCAGAGCTGCAGCCAGGAAGCAGAAGGGAGAGAGCAGCTCTGCTGTGGAGCAGAGTGCCCTGCCCAACCCAGAGAGCATGCCAGGATGCTGGGGGAGTCTGGTTTAACTTAAATCTGGAAGGGGTCTGGAACAGACATTGCATAAACCAGTTTGACCCAAATCAGTTAAGTCTGATACTACATTCAACCAGATTTCTCTCACACTGCTTTCAGTCATTTTCAAACTGGCTTATGCACACTGAACATCTGTTGTTACAGGTTTAAATCAGTTTCTGATCACTTAATCTGGGTTATGTGTAATGTCTGTCCCTAGCCTGTTAGTTCCCAATCCTGCAAAGGTGCTGGTGATTAACATTATTAAAATGAGTAGTCCCTTTGAACTCAATGGATAAAGTTAAGCATGTGTAAGTGTTTTCAAGATTGTGGCCTTGCATGATAAACACATACATTCACTTGACAAAAATTTAGGTTAGGCACATAAAAGAGCAAGAAAAAGACATTCATCTACACTTCAAATAAAAGCTTAAAACTAAAAAAAAAAACCCACCAAAAAAACTCTAGTTGAATTCACTTTTGTTCATCTTATTTTTAACACTTGTCACAGATTATGCAAAAATAAAGATAAAATTTATCTCAGGTCTTTGCTCATGAGCAAAGGACTGCATTGTTTGGGACAAACAGGACTCTCAAGAAACATTGGTTTATAAAATTAGTTCTATTTGTAGACTGTAAAGAGAAATAATGGGGATTTTTAGTGCTACAAAAATACAAAGGGACATCTCTTGTTTTGTAGGCTAAAATCTTGTTTCAGCTTTAAACACTTAACAGATACATGAGTAAAGGTGGTGATATAAATAAATGTATACAGGTTCAGTGCCAACTTGAATAATGAGTGCTAAAGAATCAAACCCTTGAGCTAGGTTACCAGATTATGGGGGTGTAGAAATCTTCTTCTTGACTCCACTTAATTTAGAGAAGTTTCTCACTGGCTTTCTATAAGGCCAACAGGTACTTCTGTATTGGAAAATAACTTTAATAGGTTTGTTTTTGTGAGATTGTGGCCCATAAATGGCTTGATAAAGTGACTTCCCTAACCCATTGTACAAAGTTTTTATGCTCTACTACACAAGAGAGTGTCCAGGGCTTGTTTCAGCGATTCTCAACCAGGGTGCTACAGGGTGGTTCAGGTTCCTTTCAGGGGTGCTGCAGGGTGCCATGCAATGTTAGCACTGTTAGGTATGCAAACATGTTTCACAAGTTAAACCCAGAGATTTCAAATAAAAATCCATGGCTTTAAAAACAGTCTGACCTATTGTGGTCCAAATTCTTTGCAATAGAAGAATTAGCTTATTTTTCTGTAATCCAAAAAACAAATGAAAAATAAGAGCTAGCATTTTCTGAGGAAATACTCAGTGAGTCTAAGGAGAAGTGCCTTGAGTCTAAAAAGGTTAAGAACCACTGGCTTATTTATACCATGTCAGCAGAAGATCTCAGAGATGACGGGATTTAACACATCCCACCTGAGACTGCTGATGCACTCCAGAAGCAAAATTAATCTGTGATGCTCCTCTGCATTCACCCCTGGCTTGCTCTCTCAGAGCTACCAAGGACCAAGGGATCAGGAGTGGAGACTGGTCTAGAGCAGCCTTATGGATGAACTTCTGGCAAGGAGCATGCCAGTAGACAGAGACAGGCAAAGGGTACTCAGTCCTGTCCTTCTGAAATCCACTGCTAATGCATACAGTGAAACCCAAAGCCTACAAACCTTGAAGTTAAAAACATGTAATGAAGGAGAATGGAGTGAGGCTCTGGGGGAGCTGAGGGTTCCATAATTTTAAACTATTAAATGGAAACTTAAATTGATGGGAAGGATGAGAGTAGAAAGAGAAAGCCTGATGCTTTGGAAATCCTAGTTCTCTACAGTTGAACAGTTGCTGTTAGCGCACTTATCAATGTTATCCAGTTATATGTATTATAAAATATTTGGCTCATGGCTTTTAATCATGATAAAAGCTACCATAAGCTCTACTTACCCACATAAAAGAGTACACTGTATTATACACATACTTGTCACATAATCAAGAGAAAAAGCTAAATTGTAAATATGTGACAAATTATATGTCTCCCTTCACCTGGTCATTGGCAATGTATTTGTGCTATCTACACTCAGATAAATGTGAATATTAAAAAAAACAATGATCTATCACCTTCACCTGGTTAAAGACCATATGCACGGAGAGCCAGAGGTACTAGAAATGTCTGCTATTTTGGGGTATCTAATCTGTGACTCCTAGGGTCTGATTTTTCAGAAGACTTGGCCATATGCAACACTTTCTACTTCAAAGCACAGCTTCCACTGACTTCAGCTGCAGCTGTTGAGTGCTCAGCATTTCTGTAATACAGAACTGGGTGGTTGAAGCTTGATATTCACAAGCAGAACACAACTGATAGCCTCCTCTGAAAAGGTTTGGTTTAAAGTGACTTGTTTCATATGCTATTTGAAGTACCCAAGAGTAGAGGCAGGGACAGAATCCCATTCC